GTTTCTGCTCTGCTTTCAGCTTAAGTTGATGTATGAAGTTATTAATAATAAATTCATGGTTATCTTGAGGTTTAATAATTATTTGGAGGTGTGAAGTTGAGATAATCTCAGACTCAGAAAGTCTAAGCCTTGCTGGTTTGTTTTGGTTTGTTTAGATCTTGTTCCTTCAGTGGAAAATTACATCAGCTGAGGAAAACCCTTTTTCTCCGTAAGCGTGCTGCGTTCACTGCCTCTCAGACAGCAGAGCTCTGAAGTCTTATATTTCTGAAGGTTTATTACCTGAACCAGACATCCCTCCTCATTAATGCGCTGAGTGGTGTTCAGGCTACGACCGGCCGCCCTGGCATTTCCAGCTCGGTGCCGGGTTCGCGCTCAGAATGGCGATATCTAGGGGTAACGTTCTGATGAATGTTGGCTCCTTTAAATCCAGTCCATCTCTGATCAGAACCAGTTTGGGTCACGTCTCTCCAGTTGGACCAGTAACCGTATGTCAGAGCTGCTCATATGTCCTGCAGCTGTTCTGTTTATCTGCTATAGGAACTGGAAAAACCAGATCCAGGCCTGAAACCTCCTGGATAGTTTCCTGTTTAAATGGTTAATTTTATTGCGATCCTCCTTCTTCAAGCAGACGTTTAACTTTCTGTAGAGAAAGATCGAAAATCAATATTTTTAATCGGTGTTATTTTTTTACGTCTCCTTAGTGTTTCAGATTGAACAATGTTAATGGCTAATAGGCAGGGCATGGTGAAGGTCTAAAAAACAAAATTTTGGCCTGCAGCTTTCTGGGTTCGTCTGACTCAGAAGATCTGTTTCTAGGAAATATCATGGATTCTCTATTGAATTTAGTTCTGGACTTTGACTAGGCCGTTGTGCCAAATGAATCCGCTTCAATCTAATAATCCATCCTATCGTTGGCTGGACGTTCAGGACCGATCAGCCTCAGAGTTTTTCTTCCAGGATTTTGCTCCATCATCAACCTTCCCTGTCCCTGTTGAAGAAAAACCTCAACTTAGCATCAAGCTGCCACCACCGTGCTTCCCCGTAAAGCCTATAAAGGCCACGTTCTGGTTCTGTCTCTTATATAGTCTTTAATATTTTCATTCAGAAGCAGTGCTTTTAACTCTGCTGGTAGATTTAGTACCGATCAGAGCTCAGCTGACTGTGGTTTGTGTTGTGAGACCTTCTCCCTGCTCTGGTTTCAGGAAGCAGCAGCATAAACCCAACGTTTCTGCTGCTGCTGCAAAGTTTAGGGAAACCGAAAGAAAATATTCCGACCTGAAACAGTTAGCAGAGGAGTATTACAGCTGGAACCTCGGGAAGCTCCTTTTCCTCCTCTGTCGGCCAGGAGGTGCTGGAGCCATCTGATCATCATGTGCTTTGTTAGCTGTTCTGGTGATTTACTCTCCCGGGCCTGTGGGTTGTTTATGTCGTCCGAACATCTAGAACAAATCTGAAACATGGATGCCTTGAAATAGATCAGAGACAAAACAAAAACGGTAACGAAACCCAGACTGGAATCTGCAGCTTCCCTTCTGACCTTTGGTGACCCAGTTTCTCCCTGATTGGGTCAAAAATATATTCTTTAATGATTTTAAATAGAAATCTAGAAGTTTCAACATGCCGAAGACTTTAGGAGTCGACGTTTGATTAAGATTTAGAAGGATTTTGTTAAAGAGGTTCCTCACTGTCCTTTATCCAGGAGGTGATGACCTCGACTGTTTCCTACTCAGGGAGCTCGTTGTCGACTTTCTGTCAATCTGATTAGCTTTTATTGAGCTAGGAGGAAAAATGATGGTGTTTACTTCTTATCTAACAGCCAGTGAGCAGATCTGAGCTTCGGTTAAAGCCTGTCAGCCTTTTTCTCCTCCGTTAGGATTTTATTTCTCATCATAAATCAGACTAAATATCTGGATTAAACTCAGACTGATGATCACAATGACCCATTTTTATTACTTCAGCACATTACTGCCTTATATTTCCTTGTTGCCACTCCTTCATCATAAACTCTGAGATCTTATCCAGCTGATTAGCTGCTGTCTGGAGCAGTCGGAAAGTTTAGCTCCATTTTTTCTGTCCCATTACTCAGAGATGCCACCTGGATTGCAGACTCGCCCTGATCCGCGCTCTACTGGTATGCAGTGACGTTGGTGGATTATTACGACTGCAGAAATGTTCCTCTGAATTACCTGTTTATTATCATTTAGGAAACTTTATCTTGAAGCTAAGTTAGACGCAGCATTACGAAATAATTCCTGGTAGAGATATCAAAATAAAAGTACTTCCTGGTCCATGAAGTGGTCATTATGAAGATAAGAAAGCAGGAATTCAGCATTAAAAGGGTTTAATCTCTATAATTTTATCAGTATTCAGCAGGTTTTTTAGATTGTGAGTGAAGAGTTCAATGAATAAAGCTGACTGCTAAATATTAACAGGTTGTTCATCTCTAACCTACAGCCCTTCAGCGTTAGAGATGACCTAGAAACGGTTCCTCTGGGTCGGTGGAGACCTGTCAACAGGGTTCAGCTGTCTGAATGAGAAGGCGGCCTGTTGGCTTCCTGTGGCCCAGATTGTGGTTCTTTCAACTTGTTTATTTTCAGCTTCTCCAGATTAAAACCACTGAAATCAAAAGCAGTAAACCTTTAATATTTAATGATGATGCAGCAATTAAAGAAAGGAGCTGAGTGATCCGATCATTTCAGCAGGAAACTCTGTAGTGAAATGAGGCGATGAGGGAATCCTAAAGCAGGAGAGTCTGTGTTGTTCTCTGAGCTGCAGCGTCTCTGCAGGCTTTACCTCGTGTATCCACCCTGCCGCCTCAGTGGCGAGCTTGGTCAGGTTGGGTCTGGATTTTGTCTCGCAGACCGAGGCTCCAGCCTCTGAGCGGCGCCATCGTTAGCAGGATTACAGCAAGCGCTCGGATTAGAGGAACCGGCAGAAACCATCTGTGTGCTTCATCCTGCAGATGGACGGTGGCCTGTGAGGGCCCTGGAGCCGCCTCTATGCTGTTCGTCTGTTTTTTGTTGTTTTTTCTGGGCTGTTCTGATAAACCTCCTGCCGTCCTTCACCGTGCGCATCAGCCCTGGTTAATTTTACCCAGGATTCATCTGGGATTAGAGAAACACACACAGAATGAACCTTTTCTCTCCTATAACCTGCTCTTTCTTTACTCTTCTTTGTTACTGAGAAATTCACAAATCACTCTTTGAAACAAATTCCTGATTTTGACCATTTAATCTGAAATTGTCATCACTTAACCTCTAAATCAATAATCTGCTGCGTTCAAGATGCAGATTTTAATCTAAAATCTGAAGGACTTCATCTGAAGAAAACAGAAAAAATGTCTTTAAGGAATCAATCTTTTATATTCAAGATTAGATTTTTTTAATATTATAAATGATAAGTTACCTCTAAAAGTAGACAAATACATCAACCAACAGATATTTTTGATATTTGGGCCAGAAAATCTGCAGCACATGTCTGAGATTATTTAAACTGATATGAAAACAATCAGCCTCGGGATTAAAAACCTGCATTGGTTGATTTCTAGTTTAGTTTCCCACCATGTTTGCCCTCAATAAGGCAGAGAATGTGGGACGTTGGGACGTCTTTATTTCCACTTTTATCTGATAATCTGCACAGATGAAGAAAAATGCTCCACTCTTCCTTATTTATCAGATTGATCTTTCTTTAATTAACAGATTATTAACACTTGGTGGCTTTAATTAAACTTAAACTAAACTGGTTTTATTTTTTATTTTTATTTTGACTGAAAGGGAAAAACATGGATTAAATAGATTTAAACAGGCAATTTAAATTATGATGTAAATGATAAACAAATAAACTCCAAGATGTCATTAAAAATTGAGTGTCCATGTGATCCATGGAGTTTCTCAGCACCTTCCTCCTGCTGCTCAGTGATTATCTGAAGTGTTTTCTGTCCCCCATTGGATCCATGAAGGTGAGAAAGACAGGAAGCAGCAGTCAGAACAACAGGAAAAGCCAAAAACAGACTTTAGTTTCCCAGAGTTCCTCTGAAGGAGATAAGACTTTCTCAGACTGCTGTGCAGGTCTCTGCTGTGTCTCATCCATGTGACCTCTGACCCCTGCGTGCTGTCGTCCCTTCTCTTAAAGGAGGTGAAGCTGCAGAAGGGAGGCTGCCAGCGTACTGAGGGATTAGCAGGCTATAATAAAACCTTCATCCGTCTTTAGGCCGAGTTGATCTGCAGACCGATTCAGTCCAGAGCAAAGCTGCTCCTGAATCCGCCTCATCAAGAAAGAAAGAAAGAATTCAATAAGATGTTTAAGTCAGGATCCAACATGGATGCTCTGCTGCTTTAAGGTTCATTCTGACCCCTAGATACTGTTAAGTCAACATGCTGTTACTCATCAGAGCCAGATGGAGCTAAACCAGAAAACCTGCTGCTGGTTCCTCAGCATCCAGGAGGGAAAGTTGCAGCAATGAGTTTCTGGTTGAAAGCTGCTGCTGCAGGAGAGCAGAACCTGCTTCCATCAGATCGGTCCAGGGAATGTTTTCTCATAAAGTCCTGGAGATCATCAAGATGTCTCTTTACCAACAGGAGACGGGTCTTTGTGGTTTTATAGATCCATAGTGGTTCTGGAACTCTCTCAGACCTTAGCTGTGGTACTTTAGACATTCTGGGTTCTTGTGTGACCTCCTGGATAAGGCAGTAGGGCTCCGATCTTTTCTCTGTTAGTAGTTAATGGTTCTCTCTGCGGTTCTCTGATGTTCTGTGAGCCTCTCCAGTCTGACCAATGAAACACTTTGTTTCTCACTTGATCTTAAATGTCTTACAATCACATTTCTTAAAGGTTCAGCTTCGTTCCTCTTGTCAGACAGGTTCTGTTGAAGTGGTTTATTGTTCTGGGTTATTTACGCTTCAGTGACTCTGGGAGCTGCAGAGGGAAACTCAAAGATTGAAACATCTTCATCAAAGATCAGAAACATGGAGCTGAAACTGCTCTCTCTCTGTGTCCTCCAGGCAAATCGGGCGAGCCGGTCTGCTCTCCTGGTCACAGTGGCTCTCAGACAACATCGCCCGTCGCCCTGCCGCCACTGCGCAACAACAACCACAACCCCCTGACGGTACGGACACACACAGGCCGCTTCTTCATGGTGTTTCCACAGCTGTAGTTGTAGCTCTAAGCTTCCCAGCTCTGATCTTCCTCCTGACGTCAAACCTTTGATGTTTGGGTCCAGTAAGGTCCTGCCTCCTGTTTAGATCCTCCTCCAGGTGGCGCCATGTTGGGGTTCAAAGCTGTAAGATCCAACAGATGGACTCCGTGCTGACCTTAACAGAACGGCTCTCCTGTGGTCCGGTTCTGTCAGCAGAGATCCCGATGTTCAGGACGATGGCGTCCATCATTCTGAACTTCCCTCCTTTTTAATCTTTGTGATAGATCACAGTTAGGAACAGATGTTTACATTCGCTGTGAAGGACCGAAAAATGTTCTGAGGTTAAAGAATCAAATTAGGATTCAAACTAAAGATTTAAGGTTAACAACATCATGACAAAGCAACATACACCATCTGCTAATGATGGTTTATCATCTCTCTTCATTGGAAGTCAGTGTTTTATATCTTTTATTTATCTTTTTTATTCAGAAACTAACAGGGTTCCTATTTTATCTTACAAATAATTGTAAGATAACATTTCTTGTATTTTCATGTATCTTTATTTAATGCAGCTGACACTATAAATACTTAAAATCTAATGACGTCCTATTTCTTTACAACTCAGCATATTAAAATAACTATTGTTAGTCGATGGATAAGATCAATCAACTTTAGATGAATTCATTAATCAATAATTATTCTCCCTAATTCAAACTGTATGACTTTAGTCAGATTTTGGCTCCTTTCCCAGGTTTGTTCCTCCATTTAGAGCCGCTGTAATCGGGTCACAGATCTCCTGTCAGGCTGAGATCAGGCTCTCTGATGGCCAAACATGGACTCTGTTCTCAAACAGCTTTTTAAATCAACCAATCACCGGTTTGAGGCCGTCATTCTCCACTTGGCTTCTAAGAGCTAAATAACTGCGGCAGGAGGTGCTGAAGCTCCTTTGACCCAACGATGATCCCAGTCGGTGCGTTTATCACCATGACTACCCCGTTCAGGTCCAGCCATGGATAAAACGTCTCGGTCTAACAGTTCTGTCAGTTTCCTGTGGGAGGAGACGTGTTTCTGCAGCAGGTGGAGCTTCGATCAGATTCCTGGAAGTCAGAAACCAGATTATCACCGGATCAGGGCCGATGGAAGCACACAGTGTTGGGTCCATTAGACGCTCTCTGCTCTGGTTCTCTAATGGAAGTGAACCAGTGAGGGTTCTGGACAGTCAGCTGCAGCTAATTATAGCCTCCAGCTTCAAACAGCTGATTGGTTTATAGGCGTCTCTGAAGGACACACTCAGTCAAGACAAATGCTATAAATGACCCGTTTCACTGTACTGATCCGACCCTCACTCCTTAGAAATGTCCCTCATGCAGCCGGACGTTCCTGGGATGTCCTCCCTGTAGCTCTGATCTGATTCCTACCCAGTACAGCAGTAGAGGAGAGCTAAGGTTCAGACCTGATCAGTTAGACTGCTGTCCAACCATCCTTCTATCCAACAATCTCTTTCATCAATGTCAGCTGAAAACTCTGAAACAATAACATTAAACAACCCAATCCTAGGCTGCCTGTTTATTATATTCAGCCTGGGAATCGAAGAAAGTTCGTTCTACATTAGAGAACTTAGAAGAGAACAATTCTACTTGAATCTTGGGACCATTTCTTCCCTGCATCCCGTCACAGAAATGGCTTGATTTGGTTCAATCTGTCTGAAAACAACGCAGAACAATAGAAAAGTCTTAATTTATCTCACTGAAGGAATAAGACCTTCTAACCAGCGAAGCAGTAGTATTAATTATGGGCGTCATCAGGGGAGGGAGTAGTCAGGACTTTATGCTCTGCCGCATGTCGGAGCTCAGAGTTATGGCTCCATCACCCTGATCTCACTGTGAAACGGCGGCTCTTTGAACCGAGCCTCCGCTGCCGTCTGAAAGGAACCAGGTGTGCTAGTTGCCACGGGAACGTGGAGCCACTCTGAGCAGCAGGCTGAATACATCTTCTCATTAATAGGATCTAATTCAACATCGTTCCCTCGAACTGAAGATGGTTCTGATCCAATATCAACTCATTTTTCTGGATTAAAAGGAAGCGATTTACGTTTGGGATCTTCTACCAAAAAAAAAAGTTCCATGATGGTCTCCATGGTGACAGCCATCATCTGTATTGAACCTTGACCTGAAATGTCTTTTTTTTTTTTTTCATCCCGGTTCTCCTTTATGCTGATGAAGCCGTCTTTCTGTTCAGGGAGGTTCTAAGGCCGCCATGTCGGACGGCATCCAGCACCAGATCCAGATCACCCAGCTGTACGAGGAGAACTCCAACAAACGTTCGGTCCTCACCACCCAGCCCAACGGCCTGGCTCCGCTCGGCTCGGCCCGGCCAGGCCTGCCGCTCCCAGACCGACTGACCTCCACATCGGATTCCGCCCACCACGGCCGCCAGGGCAGCGCCACCTCCAACAAGTCGGCGGACAGCAAGATGAAGCCCATCCCCATGACGCCCGAGATGGCCATGAAGCAGTTCATGTCCAAGCTGTCTGCGTTCGAACATCACGAGGTCTTCAACTTCCCTGAAGGTAGATGATCAGTGATGATGATTACGCGGTGATGATGATGATGATGATAATCCTCACTGATTAGCCTCCTTCTCTGCTTTGGTTCTGCTCAGTATATTTCGTCGGCCAGAACGCGAAGAAGAGGTCGGGCGTTCTGGGCGGCGCTAACAACGGCGGCTACGATGACGACCAGGGGTCCTACATCCAGGTGCCACACGACCACATCGCTTACCGCTACGAGGTCCTGAAGGTGATCGGGAAAGGCAGCTTTGGACAGGTAGGACCGACCGGACCGGTTCCAGGATTATCCTCATTCATGACCTTCTTAATTCTGATCAATCAGATGTTTACTTACGCTGATCAGTGACAGGAAGCAGTTTAAATTGTGTCCACTAGGATGACCAGCATGGTTCCTTCTCCTAATGGTTCGTTTTCTTGCTCATAGCAGGGCTTCATGTGGAGGATAAAAACTTTCATCTTTGATTCATCATGACAACCTTAAACTAAAAACAACAACTTAAACAAACCCTAAAAGCTAAAATGACCATTTGATTGTTAAATTTCTTCCTTCCTCTATTATCTACATATAAATCAACATCAAAGCTTCATAGGGTGATCATCAATAACAAGTTTCATCTTAAACCTTTTTTCAAATGGTTGCTGGCAGGGCTGGGCGATATGGCCTAAAAATACTTTAATAAGTACAATTTTTTTCCGGTATTTTTTCCCTAATTATTAAGGAAAGCAATAAGTCCAAAGGGTCACTGTGTCTTTGGCAATGCGGGGGGAGGGCAGACCACTACCATGCCGCGATAAAAGTAGCCACACTTCTGTTAATAGCTAGCTTGTTAGCTATCTGGACCGGGAACCTTTTGAAATATGCATTTCAATACACAACCACATTTCTCTGAATACAGCGCTTCTAAATAAACTCGCTGGTTCCTCTAATCGCCAGTAATGAGCAGGTTTCTCATCTATTTGCTGGTTTTTGGTTCTTTTTTCAGTTCATTGTGGTTTTTTGGTTTCTCTTCCTGTTTCTGTTATCATTATTAGTGTCGTTGTTATTCTCTGTGACCTCTAAGGTTTTGTGATTTATATATGTGTCTGATATTTGGTCTCTGTTGGACTTTAAAATGATTTGATCTTCAGTTTTAGTCCGCTGGTTTCTAGATTGTTTCTGACTTTTGTTTAGTTAAACAGTATTTTTTCCTGTGCTTCATTTTTCCAGACTAAACGCCTGAATCGTTGCCATCTGTTCTGTTTCAGTCGTCCTCTGGTTTGAACCCCGCCTCCTCCAACAGATTAAAGATTAATCTACATATCTTGTTCCTCCTCCTGTAGGTGGTAAAAGCCTTCGACCATAAAACTCTGACCCATGTCGCTCTGAAGATGGTCCGGAACGAGAAGCGCTTCCACCGGCAGGCCGCGGAGGAGATCCGCATCCTAGAGCACCTGAGGAAGCAGGACAAGGAGTCGAACATGAACGTCATCCACATGCTGGAGCACTTCAACTTCCGGAACCACATCTGTATGACCTTCGAGCTGCTCAGCATGAACCTCTACGAGCTCATCAAGAAGAACAAATTCCAGGGCTTCAGCCTCCCGCTGGTCAGGAAGTTCGCCCACTCCATTCTCCAGTGTCTGGACGCGCTGCACAAGAACCGCATCATCCACTGCGACCTCAAACCTGAGAACATTTTGCTCAAGCAGCAGGGACGCAGCGGCATCAAGGTGAGACGGGGGGGGGGGAATCCTTCCTTGGTAACGGCTTTCTACTCCTGTAGAGACAGAATCAGGATTCTTTGCTCTCCTGCAGGTCATAGACTTCGGCTCCAGCTGCTACGAACACCAGAGGGTTTACACTTACATCCAGTCCAGGTTCTACAGAGCGCCAGAAGTGATTCTAGGTAAGAAACAGTCCCAGCACCATCTTTATTTAAACTAGGGCTGCTACTAATAATCTGTTGATTATTGTTTTGATTAATAATGTTAAAGTCAAAGATTCTTTAAAGAAGACTTTTTATGAAAGTAAACCAGGTGAAACTCAAACTTTTCCAGTTGAGGAGTTTTGAATTCAGCATATTGACAGATTTTTCTTGATCTTAAATAAAAAAAAAATGTATATAATTTTTTTTTTTATAATCTTGGTATAATTACTGCTCTGTCAGTAAAAGACATGTTTTACAGTCTCTATACTCCAGTGAATGATTAATCAATTACTAAATTAGTTGACTATTATTTCAATAGTGGATTAAAGACAATTAATCAGATTCATTCTTTCATCCCTACTTTAAACCTCACCTCTCTTTCCCTAACCGGTCTCCTTCTTTGCTCGTCATGATGCTGTTTGCTGCGCTTGAAGGTTAACAACTCCTCCTGATTCTGTAGCTTACGAGGGGCTTTCTTTCTGAATCCAGTCCAGCACAAGTGTGGTTTTCACTCAAAACAAATCTGGACCCAATTATCTGTTCAATCCTTTCCAGTTTAGAGGAAGTTAGAAACCAGTTAAGCTCCTCCTCCTCTGGTCTCCATATTCTACTATCATTTTTACTCCCTCCTTATAATCTTACTGTATTCTTACTGTATCATAAAACTTTTTTAAAGTTTTTAGATTGAAGGGGAAAAAGTTAAAAACCAAGTCACTGACTGCAGCATCCCGGTTGCTTCTAATGACAGATAACTACCTGCAGGGTCAGGCCAACTACTGATGCCAAAAAGAGCCGATTATAAATAGTTCTCTTCTTACTTGTACTGGAAAAAAGGTGTAACTTGAAAGGTGACTCTTTCTAAATGTATAGACCTGCTAATAGTTGCTAAATAGATGGACATGTTTGGCTGAGCTGAAGAAATGTGATGAAACCCAATTCTTCCTGAAAGAAAGTGACCCCGTTAGTCCAAAGCGGTGGAATAACGGTTTAGACGCTTCTTTATTCTCTGCAGGTTCCAGGTATGGGATGCCAATCGACATGTGGTCCCTGGGCTGCATCCTGGCTGAACTGCTGACCGGTTACCCACTGCTACCGGGTGAAGACGAATCCGACCAGCTGGCCTGCATCATCGAACTACTGGGCATGCCCAGTCCGAAGGTCCTAGATGGCGCCAAGCGAGCCAAGAACTTTGTGTCATCTAAAGGCTACCCGCGTTACTGCACCGTCACCACCATGCCTGACGGCACCACAGTCCTAAACGGAGGACGCTCGAGGCGTGGAAAGACACGCGGACCGCCGGGCAGCAAGGACTGGAGCGCCGCTTTGAAGGGCTGCGACGACCCCCTTTTTCTGGACTTTCTTAAACAGTGTCTTGAATGGGACCCGGCGCTCAGGATGACACCGAGCCAGGCGCTGCGCCACTCCTGGCTCAGGAGGCGACTTCCCAAACCTCCATCTGGAACCACAGCTGGAGACAAACCCTCCTCTACTAAGCGAGGCACCACAGACGGTGCCATCACCTCCCTCTCCAAACATGCGCCCACCTCCTCTACCACCACCACCTCCTCTACCAAGACTAGGACTAATTTGGCAGCCATCACTGACGCCAACGGAAACATCCAGCCGAGGACGGTTCTGCCCAAACTGGTCAGCTGAGAGTGATTACACCCCACTGAGAGGGGTGGTGGGGTGAAAGCAGAGTTCACGAGCAACAAGCTAGACCTGAATTAAACTGGTCCATCCAGTTTGGAAGCGTATTCTGGTATTTATTGCTTTGCTGGGCTGCGTTCAAGTGAAGTGCAGTCAGAGGCATCCTAACGTTGGATTATTTAACAGACCAGAGGCCATGCTGGGTGTTACTGACACAAGGAACCATGGATGCATTCAGACGCCTCAGATTCATCATGTCCGATGGAATGAGATGTTTTGAAGTTGAGCAAAAAGACAATCGTAACGCATCACTCTGCTCTGTAGCTCCAAACTCACAAAGAAAACACATGAAACCATGGTGCTGATGGAGGGAACAACCTTTTTAGAATATTTTATAACAAGCTTTTTAGCCGAGTCATAAAATCCGTTTTACACCAAAAATAATTTCAGTGACTGCAGTCTTACAAGTTTCTATCTACACTTTTTTTATGAACCGATTCAAGTGTCGTTTTATCTCAAAACTACACCTGGTTTTTGGTTCATTTTACTTTAGGCGTACAGTTAGAAAATGATCGTTATTAAATCCAAATCACTGCAACAAAACTTCCTAAACCCCGATTGTTTAACAGCTACCCGTTAGCTGGCTGACAGAATTATCTAGCCCGTTTTATATCGTATTAACTAGCTAGCCATGTTAGCATGCTAGCATAGTGCCTGTTAGCTGGCTAACTGTTAACTAGCACCGATTGAGTTGGTAACGGCTATATATTGTTGTATAGCTTTACAATTACTGACTATATTTGATGTTTCTAGCTAGCAGTTAGCCTAGCATACATAAATGAGTTGGCTAACTGTAGCTAGCTCAACGTTTGCCTTCTTTATCAGTCTGTTGGCTAGCCTTAGCCGTTATAGCCATAGCGTGTCAGCTCTCCACTGCCCGGCCTTATCATCCTCAGACAAAAAGTTTCTACTTTCCATAGTTTAGTGTTTGTTCATCCGTTTAAGGAGCAGCAGAACCGCCTGCAGAGTTTGGTTGTGTTTACAAGAACCGGCCTGTTCCCTCCCTGTGAAACCAAATATGAATACATTTTATGGGAACAAGCAGGCTGATGGTGCAGGAACGTTAGAATGGAAAATCAGTGTGGTTTACAAAGAGTTAAAATAACCGCCTCCAATGGAAAAAGAAAAGAACAATCTGAAGGACAAAAAAAATTGAAGTATAGTAAAATCAGAAGATTCAGCTTCTGTTTTAATGTGAAAAAACATGTTTTTAGAAAGCTAAATATTAACTGCAGGAAAAGATGTTTATGTGGATTTTAAATGGGACCTTTTATAATTTGGCCCAATCAGATTTTTTCTTTTTTTTAATCCTATATTAAATTTTCAGATCATCAAACATTCATATCTGACCAAGATAATTTGAAAATAAACAGGCTTTAGGCCTTTGTGTCCTTTTGGGTCAGCAGCGGTTTTGGTTTTTAACTTCTCCCACTGACGTCATTTTGACGCAGTCCTTTTGTTGATTCATGACCTTTGACCTTATCCATTTCTGGGATCTTATTGAACGTCTTGATGATCTGAAATATTTAATTCTAAGGATAATCAAAAAGAAAAAGACATCTGTCAGAGTGCAGGAACGTTCTCCAGTCATTATACATAAGTGACTAAAGCGTTGAAAATTAAAGTTTTTTTAGTACTGTAACTCTGGTTAACCAAAGGCCAATGGGATTGATTTAATCCCATTAAAAGCTTGATTATAATTGGAAAACTGCTCATTTTTACTGAAAATGAGCAAACATTGTAATTGGAGAACTTAAAGAACATTAAAGAACTGAAAGATTTTAAGGAGTTTTGAATACACTGTATTAAGATTTTAGTTTTTGGTTCAATGAAGTATAATTACTTTAAAGTCCTAGAATAGAAATACAACAGGTGAAGCAGCCTCGTTAAATCTGGTCAGGTCAGACAGAAAACAATGGAGTATATTCCTTTAAAATCTACTAATTAAATGATGTCAAACACACCTTAGTCTTCATTTTTATGGTAAATTGTTTTTTAATTAACAAATATTGTGAGCAAACATAAAAATGAAATCTGTTGCTGCACAGAAAATAATGCAGCTCCTATTGTATAAAAGTACCAACCTGGAGGTTAGACAGCTGTCAGACCTTTGATTATAGAGACTTTCTAATGCAAAATAATAATAAAAAACTGACAGTAAATCAAAGTTTAAAGCAAATCTGTGTTAAATATAAACTGATTATTATGCCCAGACAGTCAGACCCATGTATGGAATGCCTTTTAATCAAAATGCTTTTTAAAAGAAAGAAAATCATCATCATCTTCTTCTCTTTTTTTTAATCCATAGATATATTTTTTTATGTAATTTCTTTTGTTTTCCATAATTTAATTTTAAGGAAAAGACCAAGTCTGCTGATTTTTACTTTAAAGCTGCTCCAGTTTAGTCCCACAGAGAATATTGGATGTAACTGGAATAAAATAAGATCTGAAATTTAATCTTACAGCTTTATTCATGTTTTTCGAAAAGTATTTTTTAGGTGCCAAAAAAATCCTTATATCCTTATTTGTTTTATTCTATTTACCCGCATATTTTAGACAGACTTAGTTTATAAATACAAATATCAAACGGTCGTATTTGTAGTCATCTAAAGGCGCCCTATTTCTACCCCAGCTTTAAATCACTAAAGTTAAGTTTAGCCTCTTATGCCAGTGAATGAAAAGGTTTCAATTAAAGAAACCTCTTTAAGAGGAAACCTTATTTAAAGAAAATTAAAGACACCCATCTGGTTACTTTAAGTGTCTCACGTTGCAGCTAACCCCTATTCTAGACAAACATGCAGCCACCAGTGAAGATAACGCCCCTTTAAAATGGGATGTAACCCCCAGCCAAAGCAGACTCACAGTGATATAATCAGCATATTTTATTTAAAGGGTTACATTTTGATTAAAATAGCATTCCATACAAATCCCACCAGTTTATTTTATACTGATGCAATGTGTTGGCAATTTTCACATTTAAATAACTGGATAAACATGTGGTATCAATAACAACTTGGTTCCCATTGGTTTTGGGGCCTTTAGCTCGTTTCTGGTTCTGCCTGAATTTGAATTTACATGAAGAAACTAAATGTCCAGATCAGGCTGGTCGGCTCCATAGATCGGCCACCGGAGCATTAATGAAACAATAGATCTGTGATCAAACTTTAACCCTGATCTTTGTGATCAGCTGTATGCATCGGTCCGAGCGATCAGGAAGGGCCGATAGGTTAGGAGATTTAATTTATTTGTCTCATTTTAATATTTAAAAGTCTAATCTACGGTATGTAATTACAGTGATGTGCAGTTTTTACTGTATACTTGAATGTGTGAGTGTTTGTTGCAGGACGTGAGTGTGCGATATTCAAAGGTTTCCTCAAAGCTTGTTCCCTTACACACACAGTTCGATTAAAGCACGCAAAAACTGTTCTTGAACGCACCCTGACGATAAAGTCGCATGAGGAGGTGGAGGATGAAGACTGTGACGATGAGGAGGAGGTCGATGTTCCCAAGATTGGCTGAAAGTGGTTGTGATTGTCGACAAAATGTAGCACCCGGGAAGAAAAAGGACAAATGCGTTGATGCACAGGAGGAACTGATGACGAACATTATGCAGATGCTACATGCTCCGCCCATCTCAGGGGAAGCTCCGCCCCTCCAGGTGCAGGAGGAGGAAAACTAGAAAATGTTTTTGTTTTGATAAGTTTAGTTGATTTTATGTTTAGTGTTTTTCAATTTTTTTTTTCTTTTGTGAGACAGAGTGCTGAGAGTGGTAACTTTGTGCCTTCAGTATCTAAACGCCATGTCACGCCCTCCCAACACACGCACCATTACAGTGTCATCGAATTCACTGCTAAAATTTAGTCCTAACCGTAATCCGGTTAGGGAACCAATGCCAAGTCCTTCTCTAAATGAACATTAGAAAAAAAATATGTTTTTCTCCATGATGGTGTTTTATCTGCGTCATATTTAACTGTCTTTGTAAAATTCAGGAATTCATGCTATGATTTAGCAAATTTGCTAGGTCTTTTTTGATGCGCTGACTACAGATTAAACATTATTGTATTATAAATTATTTCATCATTTGGTGCCAAAAAGTTGCTTTCCATTTTTCACTAAAGTTTTGGATTTGGGAATAAGCCTCATCAGACTGTGTCTTTGCTATGGATGAGTGACCTCGCTAATAACTGTTAGCATTAAAAAGGCTATTTAAAAACGGAGTGAGAAAATATTAAAATCATAATATTTAAAAAAAAAATCCACTGGACTTTGTTTCCAAGTCTGAAGACGTTTCACCCATCCAGGAAGCTTTTTTAATTCAAAATGTCAGGAATAGCGTTGAGTTCAAGGTTTTATACAGTAGCCCAGCAAAACCTGCAAATTGAAACTGATGATTTATGCTCAATTCTGATTTTTTTGTGAAATCCCGATTTTTTTTTTGCGTTGTTAACATTTCCAAATATATGCGACTAGTATGTGATCTCCTGTGTGAACTGCAGTCATACAACGCAAGTGTCCCGCATGCGTAGTACAGGACGCAATTACGTCACAGGTCATCATGCTCTGTGTTTACGGAAGTAAACATGGATGCTAGTGCCGGAGTGCACCTAGCGAGTTTTCCCAACCATAAAAACCAAATCTTTGCAAGATGGTTAAACATAGATACTGGTCTCTGCATCGTCGTCTGCCATAGTTGTTGTTTTTCTTGCCGCTTCTTCATAGCAAGACCCAGAATAGTGTCGGGTATTAATGGTGTTCATGTCGGATTAATGCGATCTGGCTGTTCAGACACATGTCGCATTTTAAAAGATCAAATTTGCATCGGGTTCAGGACCACATAGCCAAGTGGCCTGGGCCGCATTGCAAAAAAATCGGATCCGTGTTGTTCAGACAGCTGTAAAAAGATCAGATCCAGGTCGCATATGGGCCAAAAAATCGGATTTGGGTCACTTAAGGCTGCAGTGTGAAAGGGGGTCGTAAAAGGGGGATTGTTGGCCTTGCTGAATAGGCAAGGTCCTCCGCTCTCCTGTAAATGGGCTGGGGCTGCAATGATAGAGGGAAGGGATCAATTCAATTGCTGGATTGTGGGTTTTTTAAGCTGAATCCACCCCCTCTGTTTTAGATTGGATTTTCTTTCTTAACAAAGATGGCTTCCTTCAATTGTTTTTAATTTCCTGTTTTAGGAATGACTGTCCTGGATGACTGAGAATCTTCACTAGAATATTGGCCACATTAGTTTCTGAAGGTTGGGAAATGGTCTTAAGAACTACCAATTCACATGTGATGTCATTCCTAAATCCAAGCTCCAACTTCCATTGAAACAATCGTATGCAGTATACGCTACAAACTGACTTCCCACTGCATATGAAACGCCATTAGCGCTAGCCAAGAGTACAGTTGTCATTCTGTCGCTATATTCGTATTTTGCAAAAACCATCTGTGGACCTCTGCAATGTTTGACCACGGATTGTAGCTTTTAATTCTCTGCGTTGACATTAGTGTTACATGTTTGCGTGTGTTGGAGCAAAGAGGGCGGGTTCAAGACATGGAAGCACAATGTACAGACACATATCAGCCAACTGTCGTTTTCTGACGACAGGGCGAAGCTAACACTAGCCGTTTGCTGCACTGATGTCGGTTTTTCCTATTGAAGCTACCACTAGCCTACTGCTAACTGAATGCTAGTAGCAAATAGCGAAGGGTTTTCCTGCTATCTGCATCTAGTTGAGTTCTTCACAGAAGTTCCCACATAAGCTGTTAGTATGTGGGTTTTTCATTATGTTTGTACCTCAGATTGCATTACTGTTGTCTTTTTTAATGATTAACATCCAGGGCATTTGGTTTAATCTACCAAAGTGCATTCCTTAACAGAGGTAGCTAAATGCTAGCCACTCCAGCAGTCACATTTAGGCAGTAATAAACAGGCAAAAAGACAATGAAGAAACATGTTTTTGTTGTTTTTCCTGTAATGATAACTATTTTTTAACTGACCTCTTGGTAGCACTCAGATAACATGTTTTGCTGATACGTGAAAACAGTTTTAGCCTGTTAGCCAACTAGCTCATTAGCCATTTGACTTCTGTTGAGGAGCCTTCACAGCTAGTCATTTGCCAGCTGGGTTTTATTGTTTTTTTGTTTTTGTTTTTATTGTTTTAAAGTTGTAAATATTGTGCAAAAGTGTTTCAATAAAACATTTTTGGGCACGGGGGGTTATTCAATGGGCTGTGGTGCCACTGCACGGCCAGTTTAACTATCTGCTGTACAGAACACAGAAGTGGACACTTTTCTAGTGAGCCTTTGTTAAATTTTATTGTGGTGAAAAAGTTATTAATAAAAACACTTTAATTGTCAATTTTTATGTATCGGATGTTTTTGTTGGTAATTAATTGAAAAGTGTTGTTTCATTTTAAATGGCATAGTCCTACCTCTTACCGATCTATGCTAACCTACGAACCTTTAGCCATTTGACATAGCTGTAAGTAAGGAGAAACTTTTAACAGTATTCTGTTTAAAGAAAATATTTATAAAATGTCATGGTAGTCTACGTTCTACTGCCGAGTATTTTTTTTTCCTATTTCGAAAAAAAAATTGTAACATTGTGAGACTAAAGTCGTACAATTATGAAAAAGTCATAAAATTACGTGCATAAAGTCGCAACAAGAATAGTCATAAAATTACGAGAATAAAGTAACATTATTAGAATGAATAAAATTACAAGAATAAAGTCATAAAATTAAAAGAAAAATAACATTACAAGAATAAAGTAGTAAAATAACGAGAATAAAGTCAACGTAGTCTATGTTCTTCGACGGAGTATTCTTTTTCTTCTATTTCAAGAATAAAATCGTAACATTATGAGAATAAAGTCGTAAAATTACGTGCATAAAGTCGCAACGAGAATAGTCATAAAACTACAAGAATAAAGTGACATGAGAATGTATAAAATTACAGGAATAAAGTAATAAAATTATGAGAAAGAAAAATTACAAGAATAAAGTCGCAACAAGAATATTCATAAAATTATGAAAATAAAGTTGTAAAATTATGTGAATAAATTAATACAATTCACAGAATAAAGTTGTAATATTACAAGAAAAAGTTCACAACAAGAATAGTCACAGAATTATGAGAAACAAGTTGTATTTTATGACAACTCTTACAAGAAGCAGTTTCTTCCCTAAAATGAGGAATGTTGAGCAATATGTGAAGTTATACTTTGGCTCTGGTTCGACAAATGAGAAAATCTTTTAGCCTCAGCATCAAATTGGGTAGTTAATCAAAGTGGACTCTGGTTGCTATTTGGTGGAACTGGTCGGCCGTCATCTGCTGGTCGGAGCTTGAAGTTTTCTTTCTAAAACAGCTTGTTGTATGATGACTTTATTCTCCTAATATTGCAACTTTTTTCTTGTAATATTACTTATTCTCAAGATAAAACATTTTAAAAATCTCTAGCCTGGCCCTAATACTCTATCACAACGTTCAATTTTTGTCCTGCAGAATAAAAGAAGCTGGAAGCATAATTAAAGGTTAGATTTTTACTTAAATATAGATTGAGTTAGTAAGTAAATCCTAATGTTCAGTGTTTCTTTTACAAAGACTTGCAGAAAAAACACAAAAAAGGGGATGTAGGGCAGGACTTCAAAGCAATGCCTCCTAAATAGGGGGGGGGTTTTGCAGTGGAGATCTAAAACAAATGTATTGATCGTTTAAAAAAAAACGCTTTTCTTTAACTCTCATCATCATGCCTCTACATGTGATACCAGATGTTTAAAACAGAAACTTTGCAAGAGTTTCAGAGCGTTGGGAGGATAAAGCTGGGTTTCCATGACAACCCAGGTTCTTAGGTGATAATAGATGCAGAGTTGTCAGAGGGGGGGGTCTGACATCACACTGCTGTCATAAAATAAACAGGGTGCTGAATGTTGATAGCTCTATTTAGATTAGCGAGACAGAAGGTGCTGGAAACCCACAGGAAGTCAGATTAAAAATAATTTCCTTCCATCTGTAAAGAAAATTAGTGCGACTAAATGACTGGATTCTGGCATGAGCATATTTCAGCTAAACTGTATTTATTAAGACGTATGTAGACATTAAAATAGAAGTTTCCTTTAAACTCCATCATGCAGCCTGATGCTGATGCTTCACAGACACCTTGCTGGGAACACACATGGTAGGTTCGTTTGCTGAACTTCCTCACTAACACACCCTGTCATCAAACATTAGAGCATCCTGACTTTTTCTCATGATTTCACACTAAAACTTCTTGTGATGTTTGGAGGTTGGAAAATGTATTTGAATTATAAAGAAGCCCAAATATCTGTAAAGATTCTTCCCAAAAAGTTAAAAAACAGAAAACTGGACTTTGTTTCCAAGTTTGAAGACGTTTCTCTTCCCTTCCAGGTCTAGACTTTGACTAGACCAATCCGACCCCATGAACCTGCCTGGATCTGAACCATCCACCGTCTCAAAGTGGATCTCCTGCTGGAAGGTGAACCTCCGCCTCAGTCTTCTTCTGCAGACTGACATCTTCCCCAACCAGCTCTTATTTTGCTCTTGGACCAGAAATTCTTCCTCCACCTGTTTGTTGTGTCCCCTCCATGGAAATAGGACTACTCCTGGTATTCGTTCAACAGTTGCCTGCTGATTGCGCCCCTCTGACTTCTCCCCATCTCACCCTCTCATTGTTTCCCACCGGTCACTGACGAGCTAATTAGTTCACCATGGTAACGAGGACCAGCCATACGATTGGAGCAGCTGTGGAGGAGATTAGCAGGAAGGACACAGCTGCTAATTATAGAGCGACAGGCTGCCTGGGTTAGCAGCTTGGAGCAGCTGCTGCCTGGCTCAAGGGCAGAGCAGGATTCTGCCCTTAATTGAGCAGCTACCGTCCCAGGAAGAACGGGGATCTGATGTGATTCCAGAGAACATGTTCTAAACTGGATCTTGGGTGATATTTGTTCCTTCTGGGCGGATCGGGTTAGAAACAGATCAGAGGGACGAGGAAATGATTCCGCATCTCAGATCTCACTTTAATCTCCAACACAAAGCCCTGTGCCAAGGCCTCTAGGCTGGGTCAGCCAATCAGGGTGAGACCTACAGGTGACTGAAGAGGATCCACGTGCTGAGTGAGGGGGGGGAAACGGTGCCAATCCAGGTCAGCTAATCCTGGGAATACCACCTAAAACATCTGATTAACATTCATTTAAAACTTTAACCCAACAATCACTCTGATAGCTGCTTATGCAAAGATTTATAATG